GGCAACGAGGACGGGACTTCAAGTGGATGTAGAGAAGATGGAAGTGATGAAGATACCCAAAGAGCAACAACAACAAACACCAATCACTATCAATGGTAGAAATCTAAAGGAAGTAGTCTCTTTCGCCTACCTACCTAACTAAGCAGGATCGTTTCAACTACAGGCGGCACAGAAAAGGACGTCAAAGCCAGGATCGGAAATACAGCAAAGCAGGCCTTCCTTCACTAACCTGAAATAATCAATATGGAGATCTTCCACACTCAGCACAAAGAACAAGAACGGCACGGCCTGGCGCGTGATGTCCCTCAATGGTCTTCTCAGTGCATGTCCAATAAATCTCCATTTCCTTCTTCTGCAGATTTGTTGAGCGACAGGTTCATCGCCATACCAGAGTTCCTTGTTGCTTGTTCTGATTATTCTGGCTATTCGAGCTTCAGTAGGAGCTTAGGCAGTTGTTGATGAATATCTGTATTTGTTGGAAATCCCTTTCGTAACGCGCCGAGTCTCTCAACCATCAAATAGAAGCACTGATTTGCTTGACTGACAATGGTGTTGAAAATCTGGATGTTGTTCACGCTTTATGCTGAGTGCAGTTCAGAAGATCTCCATACTGATTGTTTCAGGTTAATGAAAGAACGCCTGTGTTGCTGTCTTTTCGATGCTGGCTGGCTTTGACGTCCTCATCTGTGCCTCAGCCTGTTGTTGAAACGATGCTGCTTAGGTAGGTAGGTAGGTAGGTGAAAGAGGCTACCACCTTTAAGTTTCTCCCATTGATGGTGATTGGTGCTTGTTGTTGATGCTGTTGTTGGTTGTGTATCTTCATCATATCTGTCTTCCCTACATTCACTTGAAGTCCCGTCTTCGCTACCTCTCATGTCAACTTGTTAGTTTTTGCCTGTACATCTTCAAGTTTGCGCGTCAAGACATTAGACATAAATCATCATCACTGGCGAAATCCAAATCTTCTAGGATTTTTTGAAAAACATATAACTGAGCAGTAATTTTTAACAGGTTTTATACTTATCTTCTTTGTATTTTCACGATGAAATATAGTGAATCATAATGTTGTAGGCTGGTAACAATGCATGAGTCTCTCTGATTCCCTCAATCACGCTTATGAGTCTTGACTATTTAGATGATGTATAAGTTGGTTTATGAGACTCATGGTTAGTTTTAGGAGTAATCAGCAACTGATATATGCCAACTGAAATTGTTGAAAGGGAACCTATATTACTCCAAGTATCAGTTTACAGTAGTATGCTTCAGAAACACTGGAAGCATATCACAGTAGTGAGAATATTTGTAGCTCAGGTGGATGATCTTGGTTGTATTGTGTTCTCTGAGCTGGGTTGTTTAGTCGTGAAGCTTTCATCGTCCTTCTACAGTAGCAACAACCCAACAACCCACAAGATCAGTTTGCATGCAGACTCTATTCAGAATAGCGAGAACACACTGCAGTACAACAACTTCACGGAGAAAGGAAGAAAATTACATGATGTCCACCCTAAAGAAGAACGGCTACCCACGAAACTTTATCACAAGATGCCTATCCTATACATAATCAACTACAAAGTCATACGCCAAAATCAATAAATGCATCATCTTACCATACATAAAGACTATATCAGAAATCATGACAAACCAACTAATTCCCTCCAAATAGTACTTTGCAGACCGAAGAAGCGATAACCAAAAAAGACAAACCGAATATCATTTACAAAATCAACTGCCATAACTATAGTCAACAGTACATTGGACAAAGTGGTCGCCCTCATCGCCTTCATCTACATGGACACTAATTGGCTACTAAACGTCATGACATTTCATCATTCATTTCAATGCATGTGGATAAAAACTATGAGATGAACTCAATTTTGACAATTTAGAAATTTTTGACGGAGAGAGGAAACACAAAGAATATTATCAGAGAATTCCTGGAAGCTTGGCATTCACGTCAGTAAGCAATCAACAGATGTATAGACGCAGATCCAATCTATCAACTAATAAGAAAGATGGTAAACGACAGAAAGGCCAGCCGTCAGGTCAAGCAGAGGAATAGCCAACAGGAAAGTCTATACAGTCAATGACACAACAATCGAAGGAAACAACCAATCACAGACCACCTCGTCAAGGCAAGCTACTAAATCACTTACGGAGAGATAGTGACAGCTCACTACTTCATACTGAAGTTAGTGCTGATGTTGTCACTGTCTAGAAAGAGGATGAAAGCTTCACGATTAAACTACCCATCTCAGCGAACACAATACAACGAAGCATATTACAGTAACGTGTAAATCACAAAATTCAGAAAAAATCCCAACGATGGAAAAGAAACGATTTGTAAATTTAGCTATATCATAGATTACAAGCAGCATTTTTTTAGTAATTATCGTTAACTAGTTTGAAATGCACAGGAAAATATATTTGTCTATTGGGTTTTTCCAACTAAGCATGCTTTTACCCATCTCTATGTGTGTAGTTGCATAAAAATACCATGTGAAAAAGCTGGTACTCTACAGTGAATGCGGTGCCATGTCTGCACTGAAGCTCTTCATCATCATCTAGTTTGGCATTACCATAGCCTTTGTTGATCACTGGAGAGTAACCAATTTCATGTATTTTTTTTAATCGTGAGTGCTGACCTAATTCTATCGACCTTCTTGTAATGTTGTCACCTGGACAGGGTACTCAGCGTCATAAAGCGTTTCGAACACTGATAAGTGAATATACTTAATCTAGTCTTACAGGAAATCAGTCGTGCCCGGATAGCTCATTGGTAACGTAGTACTGTGTGTTGTAAGTTCAATTCCCAAGCAGGGCATCAGTTTTATAGAGGTTGCAGATACACCTTGCTGGCGAGTGCCAACAAGAACCAAACCTAGGTCCCGTAGAACTTTGTAGCTTGATAGCCACATGGTTACAGCCAAAATTTTCATTTCACCTTCAATTATCACCCAGTATCAATTCAGGTCTGCTAAACTATGACAATCTTTGATAGTCAAACAGATAATCAGTATGATGCTCTTCCTCTTCAATTCAAATAGATTTCGAGTGAAGTGAGAAATCCTGAGTGGGCAGCCGCTGTGAGTACGATCATATGATACTTTGGCAATACCCTTAGTGATTGAAGCAGATTAAAAATCTGATAACCAGCCGAATCTCATAGGTTCGTTGGTAGAGAACTGGGCCGGAATCCCGCCGCAGCTCAGATTTTCAATCTCACCTTCAGTCATGAATATATCTTGGTTGTATTGTGTTCTCTAAGCTGGGTTGTGGAGCTTTCATCACCTTTCTAGACGACATCACCAACACTAAATTCAGTACAAAGTGAGCTGTCAGTACCCTTCCATCAGTGATTTAGTACTTTAACCTGATGAAGTGGTTTGTGATTGGTTATTTCCTTTGATTGTTGTGTCATTGACTGACAGCACATATTTTCCTGTTGGCTGTCCCTCTGCTTGACCTCTGACTTTTCTGTCGTTTATCACTTTTTTTATTGGTTGATAGATTGGGTCTGTGTCCATACACCTGTCGATTGCCGACTGACCTGAATGCCAAGCTTCCAGGAATTCTCCGATATTCTTTGTGTTTCCTATGTCCAAAATTTCTAAATTGTCAAAATTGAATTTATGTCCATGGTTGTCCACGTGATCAGAGAACACAATGCAACAAAGACCATCCACCTGAACCACAAATATTCTCCACCATACCATCACCCTCCATCAACATGAAATTTCTTGTGCTGAGGTAATTGACCAATATACGTAAACTAGTGTTGCCGGAGGCTAACTGTGGACTGAAAGGCATACACACAATGTTTCTGAGTGAACTGCTGGGTGATGCGAGTTCAAACCTCTTATAGTGCATCCATTTCGTTGAAGTTGTAAATGCGCTTTGTTAACATGGAGGTAAAGAGGTATGAAGTAATTTAGTGTGTCAGCCACTTCACTTACCTAAGAAGTAGGATCAGCCCTGCTGCACTGGTCAGTGGTAGATTAAATCTCTGCACTGATACAAAAAAAGGCTTGACTGACTTTGGCCAACTTACGCCACCTATGATTCCGCCGTGATATCCGATTTTCTATTAAGGGTCACGTGCACTGCACCTACATAGCAGTCCGACCTGTCCTACTGTATGGCTGTGAAACGTGGCCATTGAAGGTAGGGGAAGTGAGAAAGCTTTAGGTGTTTGACCAGCGTTGCCTTCATAGTATAAACAGTATTCCGTGGTGTCACCACGTGGGTGAGTAACGCAGATGTCAGGGGTAGAGTTTTAGGGAGGAGATGTAAGTTATTTGATGCGGTTGTAAACCTTCATCGACTGATATGGTTGGGACATGTGCTACGTATGCCTAATTGCCGATTGCCTCGTCACACAATGTTGGCCGAAGTAGGTTGAGGCTGAAAAAAGGTTGGTGGTGGCCAGACTAAAACATGGTATCAACGTATGAAGTGTGTGACTGTTGGTTTGAGCTATATGGGGTGATGCAGACTAGGTGGTTGGGGTCCGTGAGACAAGAAGAACCAGTGGTTGGAGACTGTAGGTGATGGCATGGCTCGGAACTGATGTCAGTGGCGCAGATGTAAGCACACATTATCCTCATCTTAACGATGCTAAACCGAATCTCACCACTTTCTCATTCTTCGTTTCTCTCTTTTAGTACTTTATATTTCTCGTGAATGAATTTTCTTTTCTTCATCTTTCGCTTCACTGCCTCTTTATCTGATTTAGTGATATGAGGTGTGGCAACTCGGATCGTTAAGCAGTAATGCCCGGTTGTATACTGATTTGGATGGATGAACAAGGCCGGGAGTGTAATATTACTTTGAGATTTATATACAAAAGTAGATGTAAATAATTCTTCTCCTAACAAAGGGTAGAATTATTTATTTTACTTTGCTAAAACGTTCTCTCAAAGAGTAATGTTTTCGTTAACGAATAACGGTTTGATATATATATATATACATATATATGTAAATTGCTAACTTTTTATCTTCAGTATGGACTGAAAAAGAAGTCTGATTTACTGGAAGTTGGTACACCCAACAGTTCACGAAGATCATCAACTCATCGAGTCTCTGATGTCAACTTGAATACTCATCGTCGATCTGCTCAAGATGATTCGTTTATGAGTAAGTTTCATTATTCAAATTATTTAACTTTGTGTAAAAATCATCATCAATGATTCATCCCTGTTATAATCACTTTCTGATAAATTGTTTCACTGGTATATGTAAATTGTGTAGCTTATATAAATTCAAAGTGTGATAAGCTTTAAAACTTGAACAAAGAACTTTTAGTGTTATTGCTTGTGTTACACCGTTGTTGATTGGACCGAAATGATCAGTCTCTGCAGGTACATCCAGTTGACGAGTCCCAAAAAGAACGAAATGCGCATTCTGGATTCCACTGCTAGCCACCGCCTATCATTACTATATTTAACTAAAACACAGGGAATATCGAGACATCCACACAGGAGCCCATATGCCAACAGAGATCGATCAATTCGGACTAACCAACGACTGTGTAATACAAGCAATAATACTAAAATTATACCCATCGCACAAGAAGTGGCTATCGTGGCTCGGTGGTGAAGTGGATAACGCTCTGCCGTTTGAAGCGATTGCTCTCAAGTCTCAGTCCCAGTGGAAACAATATCACTCACTGGGAGGCAGGTACATCCAGCTGACGAAATGTGTATCCTAGATTCCACTGCTAGCCACTGCCCATCATTACTATAAAGAACCTTCACTTCTGAAATAGTTTTATGTATTGACATAGACAAATGCTGGTAGTATTTCAATGAAATAGCATCATTTCATGCTAAAAATTGTCAGCTGTCTTATTGCAGAAATTGAATTTTGACTATATTACTTAAGTTACTAAAGGTATCTTGATATATATATCACCTCTAGATTCATTGAAACACCCAACATTTAATAAAGAGATGCGTAAAATTAGTAAGTACTTAAGAAAAGCTTGAATACTTATTAGATTGAGCCTTTAGTTAATCAGTGACATTTATATCCTTCCGTGTCTACAGATCACTGGATGAACTGATCCTTGAAAGCTTTTTTAATGCGTCGATAGTTTACAATTTAATTTGTTGAAACTTTCCGACACTGACCATGTAATTAAAGAAATAGTAGCAGTTAAACAAAGTCTATTACATAGACTGAGTGTAAAAACAAAGTATCTATGAGTGTATAAACACTTCTTTCACTGGTGCATAATCATTACTTGTGGGAATCGAAGTGTTAATCACTAACCGTCTAAATGATCTTACAGCCTTGATGCTGAAAGCAGTCGTTACAGTATGTTTATCTTTGGATGAAGATGGTTACTTGTTACCTGTTCACAAAGACTGTATTTAGAAATGTAATAACTTCTGAGATTTAAAATATTCAAAGATTTTTATAACATTAATAAAAACCAACAAAAATTCTCATCAGGCTATACACTTATAAAAAGTACTTGTATAGTGTAAAAAACAGGCCAAGTTTGAGGTGAATTCGGTTGCGAAATAGAATAAAACTTAAATTTTTAGGGAGTTGTGGAGATTTAAAATTATTTCAAGTTACTATTCATCGTAGACTGACATCAGTTGGAGGAACAAAGGAAACCTGGGAGCACTGGACAGCTGTTTCGTCCTAGCATCGGACTCCTCAGCAGTGTGCACCCACCACCCCACCAGCAGGGATCGAACGCACGACCTTCAGGTTCCGCGGCCAGCGCGTTACCATTGAGCTAGTCACTGGGTCAGAATCCAATACTCCATATTTCCAACTTCTGTTAGCTCACGATATATAGCGCAACCGCCACCCAATGTCATCGCTGAGTATTTGTCCTCATGGCCATCAGGCTTTGACTCCAGCCAGGTTTCCTTTGTTCCTCCAACTGATGTCAGTCTACAATGAATAACTACTTGAAATAATTCCATATCTCCACAACTCCCTCAGAATTTAATTGAACTGGTGCTCATTGGTGACTAGTTTCGAGAAGTATTCCCGAAGTTCCAATGACAAGTCGTGACCGGTGGAGTCAAAGCCTAATAGAAGATAGATCAGCGATGTCTAAAATATATTATGCAGCTAAGGTCATCATTGTAGAGAAGACAAAATCCATGTTATTACACAAACCAAAACAACATATAAACGATTACATCACATCCCATTGTGTTTATTAATTTACATGTATGTATGGGAACACATATATAGGGAGGAGTAATCGTGATAGGCAGTTAAGGAAGATTGAACATGCACCTAAGTGGTTTCAAAAACAAACGATCTCAACAGATCAGATAAGTGCAGGTGACAAACATCCATCTTCATTTATTGCTAAACATATACGAGAAATTTAAAGCAACTGGTCCCTTTGATAAATTGAAACAGCGTAATGAGAAGACGAAGATTATCTGAAACATGTCATGATGTATTAGCGCTATACATTTCGAACAATCTGATCACAAAGACTTAGATCGGCCATCTGTAAAACGTATTATGCAGTCAAGGCCATCATTGTAGAGAAGACCAAGTCCATGTTACAGCACAAAGCAAAACAACATATAAACGATTACGTCACATCCCATTGTATTTATCAATTTACATGTATGTATGGGAACACATATATAGGGAGGAGTAATCGTGATATGCAGTTAAGGAAGGTTGAACATGTACCTAAGTGGTTGGTATCATAAACAAATGACGTCAACAGATCCGATAAGTACAGGTAACAAACATCCATCATCGTCTATCCCTAAACATATACTAGAAACTAACCAATAGGATAGACATGAAAACAGCCTTTAAAGTACTACATAAAAGTGGTCAGAGCCGAGTGCTCACATTTATTGAAGCTCTTGTCATCCTTAGATTCGAACCCGCTTAATGTATATCAAAACAATTTGTACTCACGTTGAACCTACCTTGGTGGTTGTGATTTTAATTTTCATACCAAGAGTAAGGTTTTCCTTTTTTTTCTATCCGTTCCTGTTCCTATGTTTCCTATTAACTTCATTGACCTTTTCGTAAATTTTCATACAAATAGTTCGACAAGTCCATATGTGATCAGATTGTTCGAAATGTGTATAGCGCTAATACATCACGACATGTTTCAGATAATCTTCATCTTCTCAATACGCTGTTTCAATATACGAGAAACTAACTAAAGGGTAGACATGAAAGCAGCTTTTAAAGTACTACATAAAAGTAGTTAGAGCTGAGTGCTTAAATTTATTGCAGCTCTTCCCACCTGTATTTCCGAACCCCCTTTACTATATAATAATTTTTCCTTTAGGTTCCTAGTGGAATGTAAGGCTTCAGTAGCACCATTTCACTCTCTTCTGTGCATGCTTTCGAACCTGGCTCCACTAATTGCAGAATCTTTCATTTCTTCCTCACACAGTCTCCTGCATTTCAATCTCCAACGCCCAACTAGTCATTTCCTATTTGGATTCCACTCGAGGGCTTGGCCTGGTCTGGCACGTGATGTCCTAGAATGATCTCCTCAGTGTATGTCCAATCCAATTCATCTCCACTTTCTCCTCCTGCATATTTGTTGGATGATGGGTTCTTGCTTCGTTGCCAGCCAGCCACAGTTCCTTGTTATTTGTTCTCATCATTCTGGCAATCGAATCTGATTTTCAGTAACGAATGAGTGTAGGCACCAGTTGTTGATGATGTATATCTGCGGTATGTTGGAAATGCTTTCGAAGAAGAATCTAGGAAGCGCGTTTCGTCCTAGCTGGCACTCACTCGTCAGCTGGATGTATCTGCATCCCACTGAGTGGTATTGTTCCCAGTGAGACTCAAACCTCGTACCCATTGCTTCAAATGCCAAGGCGTTATCCACTATGCTACGGACGAACGATAGCCACTTTTTGTACAATGCGTACTAGTTATTACTATTTATTGACATACATGTTAATCTCCGTTGTTTTGTTGGATCGAATCATTCAACCTCTGCTAGCCACAACCAACCAAATTATCACAATTAACATTCGGGTAATATCGAGGCATCTACATAGGAGTCCATAATACCGATAGACGTCGAACAGTTCGATCCAAGAAGTATGTCAATAAATAGTATAATTTCTAGGTCACTTAATATTTGTATCACATGTCACATTTTCTGGAAAGATGAAAGCTTCATAACTACTTGAAATTGCCTCAACGATCTGTACTATCAACTAATTTCAGATTCAGATTTGTGATTTGAGGATAGGAAGCTAGGAGACTATATTAATCCTTTTCCAGTAGATTTCTATGCTATTCCAGTCCCTTTTTGAACGAATCATTTGATGATGCTGACACCACTTCTTCTGGGAGTCGGTTCTACGCGTTGATTACTCGACGCGAGAACCAGTACTGTGTGAAGATTATGTTCATTCTTTGCTTTTGTAGCCTTCTACTATATCCTAGTGGGAAAGAAGTGGGGAGACAGATCAAGTCCGAAGTCATTTCTTAAGAGTTCTGTATTGCATGATTACGTCTACCGTCTGCCTGCGGTAGGACAAAGTGGAGAGGTTCAGCCCGTTAAGTCGATGTTCATAGATGAGGACCAGCCATAGCAGGGATCATACGAGTGGTACCCTCTGAACTCTTTCTATAAAGCCCTTATCATTTTCAGACAAGAATTTGCCGCATGTGTATAGTTTTCCTAATTTAAACCTAACTAAGGACGTGTATAAGATGGTGAACATGTCACCACTTATTTTCGTAAACATTCTACGTAATGCTCAGAGAGTCCTAAAACTTCGCACTGCTACCAGTCGACAGTGAGTTATAGTTTTCAAACCATAACTCACTGTCACTGTGGGTCACTACTGACGGTAGAGGAGTCCCAACAATATCATAGATGCTGCTGTGTGTGCCCTAAGTGCATGCTCACACATTTAGCTGCACCGATGAGCATCAGTCACTTCTCTGACCAAGTAAACAAGCTGTTAAGATCTGCCTGAAGCGCACGTATATCCTTAACGTTCCTAATTTCCCACCAGATTTTTACATCATCAGGGTAGAGAACCATAGGAGATTTCGTGATATTTGGCAGCTCATTTACATACAGGAGAAACAGCAGGGGCCCAAGACTGGGCCTTGTGGCACTCCACTCTCTACCGATTTCTAAGAGTAGA